TTTGTTCAAACTTGGTATATACATTAGACATTATGGGACCTTGATGCAAATAGTTTGTTTTTTCAGATAAGATTCAAAATGGCCGACTGGTGGCCATTTTGTTTTAATTAATGTGCTTCTAGAGCCATATCTCTTAAATGCTTTGACTGATTATATTCAAATTTTATATATTCGTTATACATCATGTTATATATATACATGTATTCAAAATGGCTGATTTTGAATGCTGTTCCAGAGCAATATCTCTCAATATGGACATGTATTTGTTTGACGATCAGATACAAATGTCAATCATTTTAATGTTAAAAAATCATATTCCTGACATGGTTATATTCCAGCTTTATTACTATAAACAAAACTATATATCTTAAATTTGATAACTAACGGGCACTGTGCCATGCATGGCTTGTTAAATAATAACTTCTTGTGGAATCTCTTTTTTAGCCAATCACAGGCTCCTCAGGATTGCGAACACAGTGACAAGTGGCCGTGCAGAGTGAACCGATATGACCAGCCTATCATACCTTGTCGTATCTTTGCTCCCAAGTCATTGATACAGAAGACGGTTAACGAGTTTGGTCCATGGTTGCCAAAATATTTACAAGCATCTTTTGACCTCTTAGGTCCACACCCGTTCTGTAGACTTGATTTATTGTTGGTACCAAGATGCTTTGCAAGTATGGGGCTAGCAAGGTACGTCAAACATGGTTCGGTTGAATGGCTTGAACAGGTTAAAAGTAGTAAGATAGAATCAAATATTATCAGGGTGAATGGTTTAAATTATCAGAAGAAAATATGGTAATAATGATTAATACAGCGTGCTGTAATCTTGCAGTATTTTACGGGGTATTTTCATCCTACCATATTAGGAAATGTGAATTCCAAAAATGGAATGATTACGAACGTAAGCTTCCTCTAAAAATAAAAACAAACCTGGCTACCACCATGGTTTGACCGGACTCTACACAAAGAAGTTTGCTGATTCTGTTTTAAACTTTTTGGATTTTGGCATTCCCATGATGTATCCTTGGAAGGCAAAGATGTACATGTATAATAATAAGGTTATTATGAGGATACCTCATAGTATGCACTCAGACAATAAGGCTTTTGCATCGTCCTCTGATGTGTGTCGGTCGATACTTCTGCTATACTGTCTTTGTGAATACTTTGAGGTATCCTCGTAATAACCTCCTATTATGTAATTAAGTTAAATGTATGACTATAGCAATGTATATATTTTCTAAAAGCTGGGATGTAAGAAAATATGACTACACATTTAGTGTATTTGTTTGCTGATGAGTTAGGTGACAAAACAACTGAAAAACTATTCATTAATTTTATTCACAATCAGAATTATTGCTTAGTTCTTAGTCATATAAATGCTGAAAATGTTTCATTTGTTAAAATAATGGCAAAACAACATTTTTCAGAGTTTTTTCACTGTAAAAGGGTTAATTATTCACTGGGTTTTAATTTTGCTTGTTTTGCTGACTGGAAAATGCGCTAAACCCAGTGAATATGTAAAATTGAGCATAGAACACATTATCTAAATGATAAAACCGTGAATTTAAGCCCACTGAATATGTCTGAAATGGTAAATCAGCGAAATTTAAACCCAGTGAAAATTAATGGTCTCTATTTACACTTTCAGTAACTAATAATATTACCGATATTCTCTTGAGTAAATACTTGAAACTTGAAATTCTCACAGTCCAATTCTTCTTCATATAAAGACAGCCATGGTTAATTAAACTAAAAAATGTTCTTTTCCAAAATTTATTCAGTTATTATCTGTTTCTACCTTGAACTGCTTTGTCAAAAAATGTTTTTATTCATTGAAATTTAATTTTAATGTATGTGCCATTAATTGAGACTCCTCTTTCTACTGTTTCAGTCCAAGTATAATATTTTTATCAGAATCTTTATTATCTGGTGATCAGAGCATGAGTATACGATTAGCTCATGAGATTAGTCATTCATGGTTTGGTTTAATTATCGGTGCCAGAGACTGGACTGAAGAATGGCTCAGTGAAGGTTTTGCTACATATATGGAAGAATCCATACATGCCAAGGCTAAAAAGGTAATTTATGTCAAGAATTTGGTGATTGGCTGAATTTTTAAAAAAATACGAAATGTGTTTGGTCATTAGTGAATGGAAGAGAGATTTGTCTAATTAAGAAGATTTTCATTTCTGCTAGGAATTGTTAGAAATGGAGGATACTCCTTAGGTTATTGGGTGTTGTTTTATGAACATACCCTTTAGGTTACTGGCAGTTTTGTCGACATACCCCTTAGGTTACTAAGGTCCACTGTGACCTACCTGTCTTCTGTGACTCACCTGTCTTGTATGTCCCACCTGTCCACTGTGTCCCACCTGTCCATTGTAATCCACCTGTCCTGTGTCCGGCCTGTTCAGTGTCTTACCTGTCCACTGTGACCCAGCTGTCCAGCTGTCCACCCTGATTCATCTGTCAGCAATGTCCCACCTATCCACTGTGTCCCACCTATCCACTGTGAACCACCTTTCCACCCTGATTCATCTGTCAGCAATGACCCACCTGTCCACTGTGACCCACCTGTCCACTGTTTCCCACCTGTCGAATGTGACCCACCTGTCCATCTTGACTCATCTGTCAGAAATGACTTACCTGTCCACTGTGTCCCACCTATCCACTGTGAACCACCTATCCACCCTGATTCATCTGTCGGCAATGACCCACCTGTCCACTGTGACCCACCTGTCCACTGTGTCCCACCTGTCCACTGTGACCCACCTGTCCCACCTTGATTCTTCTGTCAGCATTGACCCACCTATCCACTGTGTCCCACCAATCCACTGTGAACCACCTGTCCACCCTGATTCATCTGTCGACAATGACCCACCTGTCCACTGTGTCCCACCTGTCCACTGTGTCCCACCTGTCCACTGTGTTCCACCTGTCCACTGTGGCCCACCTATCCACTGTGAACCACCTGTCCACCTTGATTCATCTGTCAGCAATGACCCACCTGTCCACTGTGTCCCACCTATCCACTGTGTCCCACCTGTCCACCCTGATTCATCTGTCGACAATGACCCACCTGTCCACTGTGTCCCACCTGTCCACTGTGTCCCACCTGTCCACTGTGAACCACCTGTCCACCCTGATTCATCTGTCAGCAATGACCACATGTCCATTTATCCCACCTGTCCACTGTGACCTACTTGTCCACCCTGATTCATCTGTCAGCAATGACGCACCTGTCCACTGTGACCCACCTTTCCACCCTGATTTATCTGTCGACAATGACCCACCTGTCCACTGTGACCCACCTGTCCACTGTGTCCCACCTGTCCACTGTGTCCCACCTGTCCACTGTGTCCCACCTGTCCACTGTGGCCCACCTATCCACTGTGACCCATCTGTCCACCCTGATTTATCTGTCAGCGATGACCCACCTGTCCATTGTGTCCCACCTGTCCACCCTGATTCATCTGTCAGCAATGACCCACCTGTCCATTGTGTCCCACCTATCCACTGTGACCCACCTGTCCACCCTGATTTATCTGTCAGCGATGACCCACCTGTCCATTGTGTCCCACCTGTCCACCCTGATTCATCTGTCAGCAATGACCCACCTGTCCATTGTGTCCCACCTATCCACTGTGACCCACCTGTCCACCCTGATTCGTCTGTCAGCAATGACCCACCTGTCCATTGTGTCCCACCTATCCACTGTGACCCACCTGTCCACCCTGATTTATGTCAGCGATGACCCACCTGTCCATTGTGTCCCACCTGTCCACTGTGTCCCACCTGTCTACCCTGATTCATCTGTCAGCAATGACCCACCTGTCCATTGTGTCTCACATTTCCACTTCGTCCCACCTGTCCACTGTGTCCCACCTGTTCACTGTGACCCACCTGTCCACCCTGATTCATCTGTCAGCAATGACCCACCTGTCCATTGTGTCCCACCTATCCACTGTGACCCACCTGTCCACCCTGATTTATGTCAGCAATGACCCACCTGTCCATTGTGTCCCACCTGTCCACTGTGTCCCACCTGTCTACCCTGATTCATCTGTCAGCAATGACCCACCTGTCCATTGTGTCTCACATTTCCACTTCGTCCCACCTGTCCACTGTGTCCTACCTGTTCACTGTGTCCCACCTGTCCACCCCGATTCATCTGTCAGCAATGACCCACCTGTCCATTGTGTCCCACATGTCCACTGTGTCCCACCTGTCCACTGTGACCCACCTGTCCACTGTGTCCCACCTGTCCACTGTGTCCCACCTGTCCACCCCAATTCATCTGTCAGCAATGACCCACCTGTCCATTGTGTCTCACATGTCCACTGTGTCCCACCTGTCCACCCTGATTCATCTGTCAGCAATGACCCACCTGTCCATTGTGTCCCACATGTCCACTGTGTCCCACCTGTCCACTGTGACCCACCTGTCCACTGTGTCCCACCTGTCCACTGTGTCCCACCTGTCCACTGTGTCCCACCTGTCCACTGTGTCCCACCTGTCCACCCCAATTCATCTGTCAGCAATGACCCACCTGTCCATTGTGTCCCACATGTCCACTGTGTCCCACCTGTCCACCCTGATTCATCTGTCAGCAATGACCCACCTGTCCATTGTGTCCCACCTATCCACTGTGACCCACCTGTCCACCCTGATTCATCTGTCGACAATGACCCACCTGTCCACTCTGACCCACCTGTCCACCTTGATTCATCTGTCAGCAATGACTCACCTATCCACTGTGTCCCACCTGTCCACTGTGACCAATTTGTCCACCCTGATTCATCTGTCAGCAATGACCCACCTGTCCATTGTGTCTCACATTTCCACTTCGTCCCACCTGTCCACTGTGTCCCACCTGTTCACTGTGTCCCACCTGTCCACCCCGATTCATCTGTCAGCAATGACCCACCTGTCCATTGTGTCCCACATGTCCACTGTGTCCCACCTGTCCACTATGACCCACCTGTCCACTGTGTCCCACCTGTCCACTGTGTCCCACCTGTCCACTGTGTCCCACCTGTCCACCCCGATTCATCTGTCAGCAATGACCCACCTGTCCATTGTGTCCCACATGTCCACTGTGTCCCACCTGTCCACCCTGATTCATCTGTCAGCAATGACCCACCTGTCCATTGTGTCCCACCTATCCACTGTGACCCACCTGTCCACCCTGATTCATCTGTCGACAATGACCCACCTGTCCACTCTGACCCACCTGTCCACCTTGATTCATCTGTCAGCAATGACCCACCTATCCACTGTGTCCCACCTGTCCACTGTGACCAATTTGTCCACCCTGATTCATCTGTCAGCAATGACACACCTGTCCACTGTGAACCACCTGTCCATCCTGATTCATCTGTCAGCAATGACCAACCTATCCACTGTGTCCCACCTGTCCACTGTGACCTATTTGTCCACCCTGATTCATCTGTCAGCATAGACCCACCTGTCCACTGTGAACCACCTGTCCATCCTGATTCATTTGTCAGCAATGACCCACCTATCCACTGTGTCCCACCTGTCCACCCTGATTCATCTGTCAGCAATGACCCACCTGTCCATTGTGTCCCACATGTCCACTGCGTCCCACCTGTCCACTGTGTCCCCCCTGTCCACCCTGATTCATCTGTCAGCAATGACCCACCTGTCCATTGTGTCCCACCTATCCACTGTGACCCACCTCTCCACTGTGACCCACCTATCCACTGTTTCCCACCTGTCCACCCTGATTCATCTGTCAGCAATGACTCACCTGTCCACCGTGTCCCACCTGTCCACTGTGTTCCACCTGTCCACCCTGATTCATCTGTCAGCAATGACCCACCTGTTTACCTGATATCAGAAAGTCCCTGATTGGCTAAGCTCAAAGGTAACTGAAAAACAGATTTATGACCCTGCAAATTGTCATTAAATTGTGATTTAATGTCACTGTGAATCCATTCCTAATAAATGTTCCCTGAATAAATTTCATAAATAGCTAATTTAATTAGAATTAATTGTAAATTATATAGTGGAGTCCTAAACAACAAAAAGCATACTGCGATTTGAGGTCAATACTTCGATACCGATCTCTGGTTGCTGAATTGGAAAACACGGAAGAAGAACTACAGACATTGAGGCCAAGTGGAGAAGCTACTGTCGGTAGTGAGAGTCAGGACGGACAGATACATTACGTGAAAAATGGACTGAATGAAGACAAGTGGTTCATACAGGTTCATTATATTAAAGTGAGTGATATCTGAAAGAGCAAATGAAAGATGAAGGGGTACAAAATAACTGATTGTTTTCTTGTGTAGCTGTAATGGGAGTGGTAATTTGATTGGGGATATTTATATAAAGTTTAAACTAAAGAAGCTATCATTAGTGTGTTCACATCTTTCTTTGTGTCCTTTTACACTGGCATAAATTACTGTGGTATAAAAAACAGGTGTAAGCATGTTACATCATTAAAGAAGGGCTAAAAGACCACATAACGCTGTGCCATAAAACATGTGAACATAAAATGAGGCTTAAATGCCATCACTCAGTGATCAGTTACTGTAAAATACTTTATTTTCACCTGAAATTTATTTTTGCTAATTTCGCTGAAGCAATGATTCAGTGAAAATTAAATCCAGCGAATATACCTTTTTTCTTATATTTTACATTCAATTTGTCAAAAATCAGTGAAAATGAATTCCATACAAAACTTTAATTGCAGCTAAAATCAAGTATTTTACAGTACAATTGGTTTGTACTTGAGGCTCTAAACTTCATTTAACTTTCATGATCAACTTTGTTTTAGTTTAATTTATTTCAAGTATATACTCACAATTTATGTTGAATTTTAGAATTTTGTTTTATTTACCTATATATAATATAAATTGTTAAACTTAAGGTTAGCCCTAGATGTGTATGACACTTAATGATTGTCAAACATCGTAAATTTATTTTGTGGAAGACATAATTAAATAAAAAATACAGAAATATATGATCAACCAAAACATTGCAAGTCAGCAACATTGTGGCCATTTTCGTAAAAAGTTGTTACAATAGCAAAATTAAAAATGATGAATAAAATAACTGTACAAACATCAAAAATGAAACTAAATATATCAATCAACTTCCTTTAATCTGCTTACCTTTTCCTGTTGTAGGGTTATTTCTTACTTCGTTACCTAGCAAACCTTGTTGGTCAGAGTCATTTTGATGGATTAATTAAGAAGTATGTACTACGTTACCACTGTCAGCAAGTCTTATCTCAGCAGTTATTTTCACTGTTTTTTGAAGCATTCCCACATCTTTGGTAAGTATGTTGTATTTTTACTCCTAGATCGAACGAAGTCTCATTAAAAAAAGTAATTTTGTTCTTCCTAATTGGATGTGATTCTGGATCTATTTCTCTGACATGCATTGCATGATTTCACTCAAACTTAGTACAAAGACAATGCATGTCCATTTTTGTTATTTATCAAACCGTGGCTCGTTTTTAGTACAAAATATTGATAAACAAAATAATTTGACTTCTTGCTGGTAGAGTAAGATTTTGAAGCATTTAGAACACATTGTAAACTATATATGTACTGTGGTAAACAATTTGTGGTGTACCTGTGACCATTTTGGTATAAAAGTGAATGTGTAGTTAAGGTGACTACATGTATGTGTTAAGTGTATAGGTCATTGCACTGTGACATAATTTTCGCCAACCAGTATGTGTATGGTTGATAACAAATATCTCTCACTAATCCACTCTAGAACATTATCTTTGGTGACAATCTTGCCCGTAAGCTGGTTTATTAACAGGGACACATATATATATATATAAATTTGAAAATTTGACAGCAACATCAGTGGCCTAATTTTATCTTAGGGTGCAAAGACTGGTTCTTGCCAACTAGTGTGTAGAACAAGTGTGACAGCCTATATTAAAACTTCTTACTCTTCTGTAATTTATTTCATAAACAATTTTGATTGTTGCTTTCACAGTGACCAAGGAATCACCAAGGAAACTATTTACAGTGATTGGCTTGATAATCCTGGCATGCCAAAGGATTTGAATCCTGATGAATTTACCCACAGTAATTGGTTGGTAGATGAAGTCAATATAGAGGTATTAACGTTAATAATGTCACTTCAGTGCTACAGGCTTGTCCACAGCTAAATTTGATGGTCTCAAGCCTTCAAACTGCAGGCTTGTCCACAGCTAAATTTGATGGTCTCAAGCCTTTGAACTGCAGGCTTATCTACAGCTAAATTTGGTTGTCCCAAGCCTTCAAACTGCAGGCTGGTCCACAGCTAAATTTGATGGTCTCAAGCCTTTGAACTGCAGGCTGGTCCACAGCTAAATTTGATGGTCTCAAGTCTTCGAACTGCAGAGTATACTGAAAAGTATGCTTAAAGACAGTACAGCGATATCATACTTTGCGATATCCTCGTAATAACCTTATTATTATACATCTTTTCCTCCCAATGGGAATGCCAAAATACAAAAAGTTTAGAACAGAAACCTTAGGGGCAGCCATGTTTGTTTTTTATTATTAGAGGACGCTTACGTGCGTAATTGTTCCATATTTGGAATTTGCGTTTCCTAATATGGTAAGATGTAAACACCCAGTACAATACTGCAAGTTACGATACGCTGTAACTTATGGCGTTCGGTGACAGATGTATAATAATAAGATTTTAATGGAAATAAGTCATACCACTTATTTGTGTTATTGATTCCATTCTTTCAAAACATTGGCAACACTGTAACACTCTTATCAAAAGAGCACAAAAGGTGAAATCTCATCAAAATTACATAATTGAGAGCTTATATCTGCTATTGTTTCCTTACTTTTAATCTTATGTTTTGGAAATATGGGCAATACATTATAGTGTACATTTCATTTCAGACTGAATTATTTTATTCTTTCCACATTGAAGTATTTTTAAATTATTATTTTTAAATTATTATTAAATAATTTTTTTAAATTATTATTAAATAATTTTTTTGAAAAATTATTTTATTGAGATATTTTCTCTATAAATTGTATATAATTGTAGCTACTCCCCCCCATTTTATCTTTACCTTGCCCATCAAAGATGTTATGTTTGTAGAAAGAGTCTGTTGTTGGCATTGTTCTTAATTATTGTGTTTGTGTACAAGGTACTATTCTATTCTAAACTGTATCATTCTTAGCTGGTCCTTGTCCAAGTATGGTGTACAAGTACAAATGTTGAAAGAAATAAACGAGATATTTAGATAAATGATGACTTTATTATGTGAAAAGTAAAAGCACCCTCTAGTGACATCTGCTTTCTATGCATATATATATCTATGAAATAGTTATAGTTGGTACTCCAGTGGAGCTAACTGTTGCCTCATCTCAACATCTTCTAACACATTGCAGTGTTTTCTTTCAGTGTATATCAGAAAGATCACTTAATTAACAGTATTCAGTGTTCTACTGAGCCTTTAGTCAACTCATAGTCAGAGTTATACCAGTATATGACATACAAGTATTATCCACTTTTCAGTCAATTAAATTTAGGGTATTCTTCTAACCTTGTTGATTATGTTTCTCAAAATTGACTGTTTTTTTACTGATTAAAGAAATTAATAATCATTAGGAGAACTATCTAAATACAGATGCATGAAATCTCAATATGTGCCATGAATTATACCCCCTTGCAAAAAGATACTCTGCTGTCAATATTATACCCAGCTCACAAAGAGATACATGTGTACTAATTTATGCCCACAATATGTGTGGTGAATATATAACAATTATATTTATCTGTTTTTTGTCTATCTCTCTTTGTAGTGCAAAACATGGGTAGAAATAGAAAGAAAAAACAGATGCAAGAAAAGTCCTAGGAAGAAAATGAAAAGTTTTGAAGATCAACATGAGAAGGTACATGTATGCCCCTGATTACCCATAATTCCATGGGAATCATACATACAGTTGATATACATTTGTTAAACACCAGTACACTGCTGACTATGGCTGTGCTAAGTTTTGTGTGAGTTTTAATGATTTTTTATCAACAGTAATCCAGACATCCCCAAGGTTTAGTTAACATGCTTTATGAGGTCATTTGTGAACGATGCTGTTTTTATTCAAGGTGTGTGTGAACAATATTTAGTTCACATGCTTATAGTGAGGTTATTTTAAACTATATGCTGTTATCTTTCCAGCTGTGTGTGGACATGACTTAGTTCGCATGCTTATAGTGAGGTTATTTTAAACTATGATGTTATCTTTCCAGCTGTGTGTGGACAAGACTTAGTTCACATGCTTATAGTGAAGTTATTTTAAACTATGATATTATCTTTCCAGCTGTGTGTGGACAAGACTTAGTTCACATGCTTATAGTGAGGTTATTTTAAACTATATGCTGTTATCTTTCCAGCTGTGTGTGGACATGACTTAGTTCACATGCTTATA